ATACTAAACAAAAACATTCATGTATGATTAACACATCATAGGAAAATACATAAACAAAAACATCAAAATAAAAATGGAAATCAAACGCTCAATATATAAATCAAGCATTTAGCCTATGTATTTAACTACTGTTATTTCCATGATTTTGTGTATTTCCTATGTTACAACACTAAATATCTATTGTTTAATTAAACACTCAAACGTTGATTTAGAGTTTTTTTACAACATAATAATCATATCCCATGATGGAAAAAAATATTTCACATTAATTCTTATATGGATTTTTTTACATATTAGTAGACTCAAATACGATTAATTAAATAAGCCTTTTAACCCCTTAATTGTAGTTTCCGAAAACATTTTGAGCAACGCCCACTTACGCACTCGTCATGGAGTGGCGTTCAAAACCCATCCAGCCACCCCTCCCCCACCCTCTTTCCGGGACATTGGACTTCGCCGTCGGGCGAATCCTGGCGCCGCCCCTGGGTCTAATTGTGAAGATAGGCGAAGCATTTTAAATTTCAAAAACACCTCTTCTTTAAGACAGAATTTTCAGTGAATTTAACTATTTGAACTAGTTCCTCGGCCCATATATATATGTTCGCATAGGGTATCATTATTATGATACCGGAAGTAACCTCCAACTTCAATGCTGTCGTTCGTAGCCCATGGTCTATACAAAGGATTAAGTCCGAGGCCTAACCTTAACCACTTGAACTTAAACTACCACTACTGTACCTTAGACAGACTAGATGTCGACGTTGAGTGTTTTTTTCTAGGATCTACAGTACATCTAATATTTGACAGAGAGGCTACTTTTGTACTCTGATGCAGTGGTTATATTAAACACCAATCTCATATACGGCTCGAGGTCCGCTTTGGCAAGCATATCAATATTGATTAACCGTCACTCGTTCGAATATAATACACTCTCTCTATTACGGTACATTGATCCCGTCTTCGTTATTTCCGACACGCCGCAATAAGTTTTCACTAAAGCCAAAAGAATATTCCATTATCTCACTGGGTAAATCAACTTAAGACACACCAAGGAAAAGATTAGCTGTAATGAAAACAATTAGGGTGTTGAGTATGGAGGTTTGTGTGCATTTGAGGGAATATGGTATTGTAGTATTAGAAGTACGCAAAAAAAAAAAAAAAAAAAAAAGTAGCGTGTATTTTATCGTACGCCGATAACGTAATTATAGGCAACCATCTTAAGCCATTGCTGAGTGTTGCAAAGTATTTTCGTTAATATATTACCTAGTATACTACTTCCTCATTGAAATTAACGAGGCTTTAAGTTTAACTCACATGGTTACCTCGTTTTCTACTACCATTTTTTGAAATAACAACCAATCAATTTTCTTTGCCCAGCTCAGCTTTCTTATTTTTTGCCAATTTCAACTTAAACTGTTCTTATTTTGTTATTTTACACACTTTTCAAAGACAGAAAATTATTATTGGGAGAAATATTTCAGCTCAAGTTTATAACCGAATATTTGTTTCATTTTCAGGTGGAACTTCAGATTACACTATTTAATGATATTAGTGGAATAGATATAATGTTAATAAAGCCTTTTTAAACATTAATAATTTATTGTATGTGATTCCTTGACATCTTAACTCAGCCCCAATTTGTTCTTATTTTTAAAGCAATTTCTAAAAGGATAACCCTTAAAAGTAAATGCGCGCGAAGCGCGCAAAAAGATTTTGTGTTTTTAATTATAATTTCGTCGGAATTGATCAAAACTCCCTAAAATGTGCAATTTATAGAGGAAATTGTCCTACCGTAACAAGCAATGCGCGCGAAGCGCTCGAAATTTGAGATTTTTAGGCACTTTCAGAGGATAAAAAGGGCATTTATAAAGGGGTGGGAAAAATTTTTTTTAAAGATAGATATTTTCCCCTTGTTCCCCGGTGGTTAGCCTACGCCATCTGGCAGCTTATATCAAAGGATTTAAGTGGAGAAGAGTTTGCAGGGTGTTGTAAGTCTGGTCATTATGATATCTTCCTTTTTATTCTTGTCTTAATTTTTCTCTCCTCTTTTTC